GTCTGGTGATTATGTCAACCACCAGTCCTTCCCACAACAGATGCCGTCTTCCACGACGCTCCTATTAATCGGAGCTGCATAGGCGTATATATCCGAAACTACTTACCACATTATCAATTATTTATGATTACATTGCTTTGTCAGGCCCAGTGACACACACATATAGACATGGACGCACACATGTGTTCTCCAAGGAAACATCCGGTGGTCGTTATCATTGAATCATGTAGTCGTTCAGCTGATTTTAACACAGAGCATGGATGTGAAGCTGCTTCAGAAAGCCAGGCTGTAAGATGAAAAGAAATAGTCACACCGCATGGCACCAACTCTTCCATAGCCTCGGAAGACTTGGCTTACATTTATCCGGACTATCATAGGTCATGGAACAAAGCTCCATACAGATAAGCCATTTTGGCTGCACCTTTTGGCATACGCCTGTCAAGACCGGCCCGCACAGTAGAGGTTGCTACTAAAAGAGATAATTCCCTTGGAATTATCTCATCAGAGAGCAGATCCTTCGAGGCAAAAATAGCTCAGACTCAACTTCTTTGGCAAAATGCTTATAGAGATAACGCCCTCTCATTGATATCCAACTCATACTTATAGAAGGGCAACGGCTTCTGTTGTTGTGCTCACTTTCCCGGTGCTCTGAGAGTTTCCAATTTTGTCCTGATCTGTGGTGTTGCCGTAGAGACAGAAAAGGACCCAGACACAAATCGGCAATCCGCCCGATTGAGAGCAAAACCAGGCGGATCGAACTTCATCATCAACAACAACAACAACAAACAAAGGTTGGAAAGATAAGGCCGCTATTATTGATGAGACGCGCACTGATATGACAGGACAACCAAGCGCAATGGAGGCCAAGGAGTCATCAGAGACGTCGGATGGATACGTAAACGGTGAAGATTCGCAGCAGGTACAGGGCGGTGACTCGTCCAAGAGGAAGTACTCGAGAAACGGTTGTACTGAGTGCAAGAAGCGCCGGATGAAGTGTGACGAGACCAAGCCGAGCTGCTGGCAGTGCTCCAGACTGGGAAGGGAGTGTATCTACATCATGAACAGGAAGAACAAGAAGCGTCGGTCGAAGGAGGAGATTGAGCGGGAGAAGCTGAACAAGGCAACCAGATCCAAGGCACAGAGAAGAAGCGATGAACCAGACCCGCAATCAGAGGCACAGGGGACGCAGTTTTCGTTTTCATTCAACGATGCCAATCTGGTGTATAATGACCTTAGTGATCTTGTGAACTGGAGGTTAGAAGAGGCGCTGACGCCGAACCTGAAGACATATATCGAGGAGTCTTCGAACCCGTTCAATACTGAGCTCTCAACTCACAACCTCCCGCTCACCACTGATGATACGGATATGATCTTTGACATTCCATTGGAGATGTTCAACCTCGGTGAACCACATAGCGAGTACCTAAAGAGGTATTACAACGAATTCTTCACTCTGGTGTGCCCCTTCACTCCGAATGTGAACAGCAACCCAATGAGAGATGTGCTGTTCAACTATGCCAGACGTGAGACCTACCTCCTCTATGCCATTCTCGCATGTGGAGCCATGACGCAGCATAGACAGACACAGCAGATAAGAGATGACCAAGCGTACTGCTCGTACTTATCGACATGTCTCAACATTCTAAGTGATAACTTTGAAGATGAAACCCTGATACAGGTGAAGGTGGAGCCAATGCTACTCACCATTTTGCTATTGACAACAGATTGTGCTTCTAACAAGAATCCAAGATGGAGAGCACACTTGAAAGGTGCAAAGGAGCTACTCAAGAAGACAACGGTACAGAGCGACACTCTAAACTTCTGTCGTAACTGGCTAACCTCTTATGAAATACTAGCAGGCATTACTAACCCATATGGTGGTATCTTCCAAGCAGACGGCGAAGAGCTTTCAAGATTCATAACAAACGATGAATTGTATCTCAACTCCTTGAAAAGGCTCAATATGATTGACGTTCATGGGTTCAATTACCTCGATGGCCATATCATTCAATTGGACATTGCATTTAGAGATATAATTCGAATCATGAATAAGATTCGTTTACTAGAGAACAACGGGTTGATCCAAGGTAAGACCCATCTAAATAGTGACATTGTTCCTCCTGTATTGACATTGACAGAATGGCATTCCATTTCGAATCAGTTGGATAATTTAGAGGAGATGTTCATCATTGATAAGTCAGGAATTATACCACCTTCAAATCCAAATCATCCATCACATAACCGGGTCAAGGGATTTGATGCCATTGATACCGTGAGGTTTCCGTCAGGCGATGAAATAACACTCAGTTGGTTTGACATTGCACATCAGACACATATAATTGCAGCACGTGTGGTTTTCCTTAATAGAGTGTTGCTATTTGAAAAGAATTCGATATTCATTCAAGAGTTGGTTAAGAAGGCCTTACGTTATTTGGAATTTTTAAGGATTCAACCCAATTACAGAAACTGCTGCATGACACATTTACACATGTTGATTAGTGTGATCGGAGGATTGTGTCTTGATGAAAAGGATAGACAATTGGTGGAGATATTTTTGAAAGCGTGTTACAATCTTGGGCTTGCCAGTGCAGGTCATAATCTTGAGAGGATCCAACGTATTTGGAGAAATGAAGTTCAAAGTGGCGAAGAAGACGACGTATTGACATGGTGAGTTTTACACTCGACAGCAACAGTCTCCAATCGCTTCAAAAAGTAGATTAAACGGTTTTATTGATTATGTTTTTTCTTTTCGTATATTGAATAGTGATGATGACAATGCAAGTCATGTTTTGTTCCCTTTGAAGTGGTTTCATGTTTTATGCTGTTTGTTCTTTGACTGATTCATCTAATCAAAATGTATTTAAGCTTAGATCATATCAGAGAAACCAGCAACAATTTGTTTTTGGAAACCACCTTCCTTTGCAGCCAATTCGTAATAACTGTAGATAGTTGTGACAGCCAACAAGATGGAAGTACCCGATCCCAAAGTTCCCAAGAGGTCACAGCCGACTGAGAGGGCACCAATACAAGCACCACCAAAGGCAGCAGCAGTTGGGATGATCTTCTTCAACTCTCTGTAGACAGAAGTGTCACGATGACCAGCAATGACAAGACCTTGTTCCTTAAATTGCTTAGCAATGTCTCTTGGAGAAGTACCAGAGATCTCAATCCATGTCTTTGAGAAAATGGCACAGAGAGAAAGCACAAAGGTCACATAGATCACAGTCTTGACTGGGTCCAACAAAGCCTGAGCAAGAGAGAAAGGAGGCTGGAGGTAGTAAGCCAAACCGTTAGTGGCAAAGAGTTGAGAACTACCTGGGTTAGCGGTCCAAACACCGAGCAAACGAATCACTGGGTTGTTTGGGAATCTTTGGAACAGCATTTGAGACACGATAAAGTAGTTGGAAGTCAAAGCTGATTGCAACATAATTGGAGTGTTTGAGGTGTAGAACAACTTGATTGGGTACAAACCGTGTGGTCCTCTTTGTCTGGTAGATTTGAGTGGGATTTCGTAACGGAAACCTTGCAAGTAGACAACGAGGAAGAAGACGAAGAAAGTTGAGAGCAACTGGAACAAATTTGGCAAGTTTTGTCTGTAGAACGCCTCAACGAGGGCTCTCTTCTTATCCTTCTTAGTAGCTAACAAGTGGAAGAAGGCGACAAGACAACCTTCAAACTCCTTACCACGACCACTGTTCACAGTAGTTGGGGCAAAGGTTTTCCAGAAGATATCAGAACAGATGTTTGTAGCCATAAAGAGGGAAGTACCAGAACCCAAACCGTAACCCTTTTGAAGAGTTTCATCCAAGAGGATGACAATGACACCGGCAAACACCAATTGAAGGATCAAAAGGAGACAGACACCGATACCAAGGTCAGATGGTCTTCCGTACATACCAGTGAGCACGTACACAGTAGCTTGGCCGATGGAGAGCATGATGGCAAGCATCTTTTGAGCTGTTTGGAACAGCTCACGATCCTTCTTGTCCTCCATGTTGACATCGATGAGCTGTGTACCTTGCAAGAGCTGGAACACCATACTGGAAGACACAATAGGGGAGATACCCAACTCCATGAGGGTACCTCTATTAGACGCAAGCATCATTCTCAGCCAGTAGAGTGGATCTGAAGACTCAGATGATGCAATACCATACAGTGGGATCTCACTCATCACCAAGAAGATCAACAGCGTCACACCTGTCCACATGAGCTTCTGGTTGTATGGAACCTTTCTCTCTGGCGCAATCACCTCTGGGAGGTAGCCTGTAAAAGGCTTGACAAGGTCAAGCACACGAACTAGGATTCACAGTTAGACAGAGCTTCATCAACACCATTAGCCGGGGCAGAAGTCCCACAAGCCACTAAGAGCAGCACAGCACTACTTACTTGAACTCATTGATTGCCACTTTACTCGAAAATGCTTCTAGTTATTCGGGTGTGTTGGGACGTTTTGGAAAGAGGACAAAGGGTTCTTTTGTCTTTGTTTCCTGTAAATGGAGAAAAAAGTTCGGGACAGATTGTCCACAACGCGCGAAAATGCCAACGCGACGTTTAAGAAATGGACAAGAGTAGGGTAATGCGAGGGG